AATCCCTTTCTCCATCTGGGTCATCCTTAAATTCACCAAAATCCCACTAATGAATCTGAATAATCAAACAACTTAACACATAAAGATTAAATCTTTCCTTATAGAAAACTACCCCCAAAGCCCTAAAGCCCCTATAAATGCAATACACTGAAACAAACTTCTAAAAGATTCAATCTTTTGCTCTTCATCATGTCAAATGATCAAAAAAACACAACCCCAACAAACAATTCCCACCCCAAATCAAGAAAGTCAACAACTATTCATACAACAACAACAACAAAAGGACTGATATATATATATAGAAAGAAAATGCAGTTGTCAGAAGAACTCACTCACAGATAAATTGCAAATCAAGATCCAGCAAATATGAGCAAGATTTGAATTTGGGACTTTTTGTATATACTAAATGAATGTTTTGGGATGAAGAAAAGAGAAGGGGTGGAGAAAGTAAACCCTAAAAAGATAAATTGGGAAATGAAAAGTGACTGCTTTTTCTCACAACACACTCTTTGCTTAGTCCAAGAAATTGTTTGTCCTCCTGGCAATGACAAAGTGCTGGACAGTACTACTACACTACACCATTTGTTTTCTCTCTCTTCTTTTTTCTCACTCTCTCTCTAAATCTTTTTTGACAAATTTGAGATCTTATGAAATGATTTTGTTCAAATGAAATCATATTTTGTGTTGATTCTACTTTGTGATTCACCCCTTTTGCTATTTTTGGAAAAACAATAATTATTTTGTTTCATTTTTAAAATATTTTCAAAACTTTTTTTTTAAGTAGTAATGAGTAATACTGAGTCGAAATTTGAAAGTTCGAGTCATGAAAAAGATAAGTAGAAATATTATTAACCGTTCGAGATAAATACTAAGTTTAAACTCTATAAACTAAGCATAGAAGCAAGCCTAAAAAGTAGAAGGTTGAAGGAGAGGCATTATTCAAGGAACAACGATCAAGTGAATTAATTAAGAATTTAACGTATATACATCGAGTCTATTAAAAAATAATTACTTGAGAATTTAACGTATATACACCAACTCTATTACCTAGGTTTAGGAGTTACAAATATTGTGACTGTCATGGCATACACATTGAAAACATTTTATTACCCAACCAAATCAAGTATGAACATATACATTATCAAAGAAGGTCAAAATTTTGTTTTCAATTGATGAACACAATATTTATCCGCATTGACAACTTATATCATGGTTAAGTGGTTTAATAAAGTGAAGATATGCATTCATTAACCATAGTTAACTGATAAAAATGTACGTACAGACACATGTCATGCATTTATTGATTTGATGTAAACATCTGATGCACGTATATCTTTTTTTACATAGGTGCACTAGGAACAATATCTTTGCTATCTACACCTTTTCCCTCTTCAATATTCTTCCATCCTCTACCCCTTTCAAACTCTTTTGCAGTGTCATAAGAAGCATGAAGTCCAAAAAACAAGTAATACACCAACAAAAAGCCAGTCCAGACACCAAATCTCATGAATGAAGCTCTATCTAGTGAACCTAATAGAAAAATGTTAATAGCAATTGAAGCTGATGGTAACCATGGCACTAGTGGTACACCCCAAAGCTTTGGTTTTCTAGCTTGAGGAACAAAATACCATAGTCCAATTGTTGCTAGTAACCATATTGGCAAAGTAATGCAATAGCCAATCCATCCATCTTTACTTAGTCCCCAATAAGTAGCCGTGGCGACTGAGGATGCAAGAATGATCAAGAGAAACGTGATAAGTTTGTTGCGATTTGCTATAGTTGTCTCACCATGAACATAGTAACGTCTAACGAGGAGAGCAAGGGCCACGAGCATGAAAATAAAGAGAGTGGAGATTGATAGGAGGTTGGAGAGGATATCGAGTTTCGTGAATAAGGCAATGATTGCTGTTGCACATGACATGACAGCTGTGGCATTGACTGGTGTACCTATAGATATAACATACAGTCAATGGGCTCAACGTACATTGAGGTTCGTGGTCTTGAATTATCAAATTTAAATCCTGAATACGTACCTGTCTTGGCATTTACTTGAGAAAACCAAGGAGGCATCATGTGAGTTCGTGATATATGAGTTAGATAACGAGCCTGACCAACTGCACCCACCAGCAACACCGATGTCATTCCTTTCAACGCCCCTGCAGCTACAATATACTGTGCCCAATTCCATCCAACAGATTTAAACGCCACGGAGAATGGTGCTTGAGTATCAATCATCTGATATGGCTGCATCAGGCACAAAGTTATGGCTAGTAAACAGTACAGAAAAGTTGTGATCACCATAGAACCAATTAGTCCAATTGGAATATCTCTGCCTGGATTTTTAGTTTCTTCAGCCAAAGTGGAAACAGCATCGAATCCAACATACGCGAAGAACAGAACTGCAGAAGCTTTGAAAATTCCGCGAACTTTAAATGGAGCAAAGGGGGTGTAGTTCTTGGTATCCGACTTTATTAGGCCACAAATGATGATGAAAAAGATCACGAAAATGTGAACAATAGTGGCAATGTAATTGAGACGAGACGAGCCCTTTGTACTAAGAATTGCAATTATACAGATGATGATACAAACTCCAACAGCAATTGGATCTAACTCGTTGTATCCTTCTGCTAAACTATCCACTTTGATGAGGAATTTATCCGAGCTGAAGTTTAGTAGAGTCGCGAAATAGGAAGTCCACGTACGAGCTACTGCAGCACCAGCAATGACATATTCAAGAAGTATGTTACCAGCAGCAATGAAGGCAACAAAGTCACCTAACTCCACCCTCAAGTAGGCAAATGAACCACCTAAAACATCAGTAAACAACTTCATTCGCGTTACCATTCATAAAAAGTGAAACTAGTAATTCGAAAAATAAGACAGATTACCTGCTATAACGCATCATAAATAACAAGTTCATAGTACCTTACCTAAAGTTCGTTGCCATAGTTGAGCCTTAGTCCTATGTTACTCAGACTCTTCAGAAATGTCATCAGGTGTGTGTCGAATCCTTCAAAAACAGTACATTTTTGAAGAATCTGACACCGGTGCTGCAACATTTTTGGAGAGTCTGAACAACTTAGCCTCAATCTCTATGTATAAAATTTTTAGAAAACAACTCGAGTTTGTATTCATGACTAAACACAACTTCAATTTTTCAAGTCATTTTTCACTTTTAAAACAAAAACTACTTTCTCAAATCTTCGCGGCTAAACTCCCCTAAAGTATATCAAAATCGAAATCTTTATTCTTTTGTTTAAATACTCTCATTCTTGATTGTTATGTACCCCACCCCTCCCACCACACAAAAAACGGAAATGATATATGTGCAACAACTATGCCTCAGTTCCAAACAAGTTAGAATCGACAATTACCTGCTACAGGAATCTCAACCGCGAACTCCGTGTAGCAAAAAACAGAGAGCAAAGCAGAGACACCAGATACAACATATGATAAAACAACAGCAGGACCAGCTTCTTGATTAGCTTCAAGGCCTGTAAGAACAAATATTCCAGCTCCAATAACAGCTCCCATTCCAAACCATATCAAATCCCACCAAGTAAGTGTCTTCTTCATTTCATTCTGGCTCCGCGACTTTGATTCCAACTCTTCCTCGTCTTCAGAACGTGTTAGGATCCTATCGATTAGTCTTGTTGGCGTTTGTATGAGTGCATTCGCGTAGTTTCCCCAGCTTTTGAACGATTCCTCAGGAAGAAAATCGTCTTTCGTGCATGAACATACTCTTCTCCTTATTCCTCCTTCTGAATTTGTTTGTTGATCTACACCCTCAACACCCATTCTTCACAACTTGCCTCCTAAATTTAAAAAGTTTCAACATAAAGAGACGATAGAAACGCGATACAAACATGTACATAGGCGATTACAGGATTCAACGTCTACAAGAAAAACTCATATTAAATCAAATAGACTCAATGTGACACAAATATGTACATAGGCGAGTACAAGATTCAACGTCTATAAGAAAAACAAGTACCTCCTAATGTCGACTTATCACATTCTCGACTGGTAAAAAAGTCAACAACATCGAATAAAGACATAATACATAAACATCTCCTTTAACTTGACTTCAGCTAACATCTATACCCTCCAACTTTGAGTGTGTGGACACTTAAATTGTATAAAGTTGAACAAGTAAACACACTACTGACATAATACAAATCAGTTGCCACGTAGGACGAGTGTCACTCATGCAAATTGTCACGTAAGACGCATGTGTATACTTGTTCAATTTTATACAGAAACATATATACTATTATGTTCCTTTCCATACCCCAAACATATAACTATGTGAATTCATCATTATATTTTGGGAATTGAAGCAAAAACTAGAAAAAAAATATGGAAATTGAAGTAAAATAAAAGTATCATGCATGTACCTATTAGAGCTCCAAGAGATATTCACAGAATCACAATATAAACTTTGCATATACTTATAAATATATATAAATAGAAGAAAAAAATGTGTGTTTATTAACGATATTTTCTCTGAATTCATCGTCCGGCAAAAGATACTATAAACAGCTAGCAATACACTCCAAAAAATGAACTATTTTTTGTTTATGACATTTATCGTTCAATAGTTGATCCAACGTGCCTTTAATTTTATACATAACACATAAACGTGCCTTTGAATTTGACTTCATCTGACATCTATGCTCTATAACTTTGAGTGTGTACAAATAGACATTTAAATTGGTATATAATTGAACAAGTATACACACGTCTCACGTGATATTTCATGGCATCCTACGTGTACTATGTCATGTAGGACGCACATGTGTACTTGTGCGCAACCAAAATGTTGAAGTAATGTCCATGCAAATCCTCCATCTTGCTAATTTCGATTTTATTGAATTAATCAATCGATGTACTATCATACGTTTATTTTAAATTCGATAATTTTTGTAAAAAATATTTTAACATATTAGTAATTAATATTTGCATTATGAAATTAATAAGAAAAGGGCAATAAAGGAACTTGAAAAAAAAAAAACAGATATGGGCACTCCATTCTGCTCCCGTTATACTTCTCTCAACTTCACGCATTTTCCCCCCAGCTTAGCTCCGGCGATTCAGTTAACGTTCAATACTAATCTCCGGCGACGGAACGTCGGCGTAACATCTCGAATGGAATCAACATCCATTTCTCCTTCCGGCGACTCCAGCACTACCGCCGTCAGCGCCCCTGCTGCCGGCAGCGCCACTGCTGCCGGCAGCGATACGACCACAACCGGCAACAATAGTACAGAGGAGAGCTCGATTACCGATACGGTGATTCAGTATGTTGTTCTACGGAGAGATTTGATTGATACCTGGCCGTTAGGAAGTGTGGTTACGCAAGGTTGCCATGCCGCCGTCGCCGCCATTTGGTCTCACAAAGACGATGCTGTTACTCTTCAATATTGTAGCCCTTCCAATATCGATTCGATGCATAAGGTAAATCGTCTAATTAGTTGATTTTTGTTTAGTAAGATTCATCATTACTGTTTCGGATTCACCAGATCAGTTAGTTATAATACATTTGATCATGTTAAAGTATTTGTACTATAAGTCAGCTAGAAGATAATTGGAGGTATATCTCTGTAAAAACCAATACTTTAGCTGAAGAAATTGTAAAGAACATACTATTATTGGTTAGCTTAGTATATGCTAATAAGACCGTGGAACTTGCAACAACTTTAATGATAATAGTTATGTTGACTGCAACAACTGAGGGTAAAAGTGCATATTGTGTGCACCTCGACTATTCCACTGGGTACCTGTTACCTATTAGATAAATTTGTCCACCAAGGCTTAGTCAGATGGGATTCATAGGAAGAGATTATCTAGTTTTTCTTTTCCTGCTGGAACTTTGACTCTGATCTCCAAGGTTTGTGCCCACTACATTGACTGTTAGGCCATACACAAGGTGCTAGTGAAGAATGTATATTAGTCATTAGATTATTAATTTAGATATTAGTAGGCTAAGAATTCTCGTGGTTGTAAGGTTAGCAAATGAAACTGATGGGTAAGGTTGTTTGATGCGTTGTGTTATGTCAGGAAAAGGCCAAAATGGTTACACTTGTTACAAGTTGTGTGGTTGGTTTCCTGGTGCACTAGCTCCTGTGTGATTTATTCTCTTAAGGTGTTCAATTTTCAGTTGTATGAAGTTGAAAAGAGCAAACGGTGCTTATAGAAAAACAAAAGCCAGATTGGTGCTCTGTTAGCTCCTTTGTAGTGAACTAGTGATCGCTTAGGTTAGTATGTAAAACATGAATTATGCAGAATTTTACACTGAAGTTGCTTGCTGTGAACTTGGGGTCAATAAATGCCATTGGACTTTTCTAAAGAAGTTCAATATTCTAGTTTACACTATGGTTAACTTATATTATGCAATTAAGTAAGATTGTTTTTTTTTTGGGGAGAAAATGAAGTAAGATTATTTGTAAGCAACTTCCTTATAATCAGGAAATAATTTTTAGAATGACGTCCACATATATTCCACTTCGATGCATTCTAACTTAGATTAGTCCTTGGTATAGAGAATTTAGAGAAAATCAAAGATTCAATGCAACTTCCTTTCTTGGCTATGTAGGTAACTCTTGAAGTGAAGGGTGAAGCCCAGATATTGAACTTGGCAGAAAAGCTAAAAGCTGGGGGCATTGCTCATAAACTGTGGATTGAACAACCAGAAAATATACCAACCTGTCTTGCTACAAAACCTTATCCAAAATCCCTGGTATCTTCATTTTTCAAGAAGCTAAAACTTTGTAAATGATGAATTTCAAGTGCCATCCGTTTTTGTGATACTGACACAAGTAGGCTTAGTTTCAGCGCTATGGAATTGAACCTATTTGCTAATGATGAGCTCCTCTATTTGTAATGATTAATATTCCTTACTGAACCCTTTGACCTTTGCATGCGGTTCATCTTGATTTATAATCTGGTGATTCTGTCCCGATGAATATTGATCTTAATTTTTAGCTATATTTGAAGTTTTATTGATTTATGCTCTAATCTTTTGGGTAGTGGTGATGAACTTGTGTATTTTCTACTGTGGCTTCACAACTTTATTTCTGAGCTTCCACTCTGCCGTGCGGCTTATCCTCTTAATTATCAGGCCAACTTTTCATGTTTGGCCTGTCTCTCCAGCTCTAATCTTTTGGTAGTGGTGATTAACTTGTGTATTTTCTACTGTGACTTCACAACATTATTGTTGCGCTTCCACTCTTCTGTGATGCTTGTCCTCTTAATTATCAGCCCAAACTGTGCGTGTTTGGCCTATCTCTCCATAAGTTGTAATGGCTTTGGGCAATCCACCAAACTACCGGAAAATGGGTTCATTGAAGAATGCAGTACGTAAAGAACCTAACACAACCTAGTTGGTTGAGGAACCTGGTAAGCCAAATTCCTTTAAAAAAAATTCTGGAAATTGGTTTGCAGCATTTCTTTCTTTTGGCTATGAAAATTCTTTACCATCGAGTGAGTCATCAAAGTCTTTTGCCTTCCTTGTTGTCTCTATCAGCAGTCAAGTTTCATGAAATGTTAAAAATTATTACACTTTGCATCTTCTTAGATTAAAATGAAAATTCTTCAAATCTTCTGAATTATTTTGTCGTTAACTGAAATGGATATACTGCTGCAGTTTTGTGGCAGTTGCTGTACACTGGTATATGTAGCCCTTATTTGAAGGACGGTCCCCTAGTAGTTAGAGAGATTTTCCAATTTTAAGTCTATAAATAGGTAGTAATTGGATCATGCAATCATCTAATCAATCATGACAACTGTCAATCCAATCATTTCCATTTCAATTCGTCCAAACATTTCATATTACTTATAATTACAAGCTTTATTACAACTTATCTTACCATACACTACACTTATGTTAGTTATCAGTTAAGTCCAATTCTTTCATTTTAGTTTTAACTTAACTTTCAGTATTAGGTGCTATCAAGTAGTCTAGGAACATAGTGTTGAGAAGTAGAATCTCCTTTTTCTACATTGATACTCTAATAGCAGTTGATAATCATTCAATGATATTTTGATTTATCATTTGATCTGATACATTACCATTTTGGCCATCAACAATCCTATAAAATAAATTTCACTACCACCAGAACCTGTGGCAAATTCAAAGGGAAATATTACATGTGTATACAAATCTGATTTATACACGAATCACCAGGGTTTTTTCTCACTGGTACTTCTATACAGAGCCGTTTAAGATAAAAGCTCTAAAGCAATACAAAATAAAACCACATATATGTCCTATCCTTTTTTTTTCTTTGGATTTCTTTTTTCTTGAACTTTTCTCTTCTTTTTTTTTGTTTTGAAAGAATTGTATGTTCCTAAAATTTACTTACGGAAATACCTTTCTGACCAACAATTATAGATGAATACAATTTTGGTGATGCATTCCCTATCAGCCATACTGTAGCAGCATGTCTGACTCTGATCTTCCACTCCAAGCATGTCCAGTTCTACCAAAAGTTCTAATTTACGCCCTGAAATTAGAATATTTCCAAAACGTTAATCAGAAAACTGTGTATGATTAAGCTGCTAATGATAAATATACTTTTATGTCACAAGCATCTGTGTCTCAACAGATACACATATTGATTATAATTAGAAATCATGACAAATGATAAAAACATAAAGTGATTTGATTACAATTATATTATTGTTACTGTTCATGTTGTTGTTACTATGATTTTATCATTATCGTCATTTTTATTGGTTTCTGAACAAAAATATAATTAATACTGAAAGTTCCTCAAAGCTGGAAACAGAATAAACTGAATGGTAACTATAATCATACAGCTACCAATGAAGATATGTATACTCGAAACAGAAATACTCACTTGGGCTCCTGCAAGGAGATGACAGTTTCAAAGGCACCAGCCAGTGCTTTCACTCTGTTCTTCCTTTGCTCTCTAAGCTTACTTGCAGTCTCTTCAATCACATCATTGGAGACCACGGATTCCTTCTTCCCGTGCACCACTTGACGTTGAGGCCTTGATGAAGCCACAATAGTATTAGTCTGTTGCACTGCTTCATGCTCCACTGCCATTACAGTTTCCTTTCCTTGGTTTCTTCCTCCATCCTCTTCTTTCACTTCTTGAGTCTCATCCCCTACTTTTAGCGTGTTCTCTTCAAGATGATGTTTGTTAGGATCATTGGTAATTTCTTCTGGTTCTTTAGTGTTGCTGGTGCTGGTTTCATCAACAAGTTGTTTCTCTTCTGTTTCTTCCACCTTATTAGTTTCTTGGTTCTCCAGATCTGTTTCAGCATTGATTACATTTCCATTATGCTCTTCTTGATCTTCAATGGCTGAATTGTTTTCTCCTGCATCAGAAGCAGCAGCTTCACTGTGGTTAATGATCACATCACTTTCAGTATCAGTAACTGGAAATTCTTGATTATCTTCTTGCTCTGATAGTTCAGCCTGAGGACTAACATCCTCAGTTACATGGAGAGAATCAGTTATTACTGATGCTTTAGGTGTTAAATCATTGTGACCATCCTGATCGTTGCTCGACTTGTATATGTCGTCTTCATCAGTTTCAGCCTGCAGAATGACATCCTCCACTGCATGAGAAGAATTAGTTATTGATGCTTTTGGTGTTGAACTACTATGACCATCTTGATCATTTCTTGTTTTGTGTGTGCCATTATGACTAGTCCTGCCAGCCTCCTGTTTCTTGGAGATTATGCCAGTAGTTGTGCTCTTCTTTATTGTCCCTGGTGTAGCATACGTGCTAGTGCCACGTTGTTTACTGGTGGCATCCTTACTCATATGAGATGCTCTGGATAATCTATCTGAAGGGGGTTTCTGGGAAGTTGAACTTTTTCCTGAAAACGATGAGGATGACCGAAGAATTCTCTCTTTAGGATTAGCTGTTTTTTGCAAAGTAGCAAGAGGAGGCTTATCGAATGATCTTCTTCGAGTTAGAGTAGGTTTATTGTGAATGTTGGAATCACCTGATGAAGACATTGTAGGCTTGAGATAGTTGGGAACATTCTTGTTTGATGTAGTTGAATCTGCTCGCTTCCGCACCGGAGAGTTTGTAGTTGATGAATTAGGACTTCTCAGATGATGAGGAATAGGATGTGAAGGAGATACTCCTCTCTTCTCCTTTCCTGGTGGAGCAGTGTCCTTTCCCCTTGTTGCCATTATATTCTTTGGCTTAACTAGATTTTGAACTTGTATTTTGCTGCAAAAGAGTAGTAATAAGTTAAAAGTTATGAAAAAGTCACCAAATGGACTTTTAACACAAGCTCCTACAGGCTACAAGCATTACTTTTAATATTTGCCATCATTGAATTCAATGAAAGACAAATGCATGCATTGTTCTAAATCTTAGCCCAATTTCTTCACAAATTAGAAATATTGATCCCAGAAACAATCCTATATATTCCTCCTTCTAACCCTTTCTTTTATAACTGTGGTGTATGTGTCAGCTGGCACGTACCTCGACTAATTGTAGGGATACCTACCATTTCCCACCAGCAGCAATAGATATCAGGTATCAAGTAACTTTATTCACTAAAGCTAAGACATATGGGGAAAATTACCTAGTGTTCTTGTCCTTTTCTTATCCTAAGCCATACCCCCCCCCCCCTCCCCGTGTGTGAATGGCCTGCCAACCAAAAGTTTTTGCTCATAATTGAGAAGCAACTACCAAATATATAAGAACAATCTTTAGGAATACATTCATGCAAAATTGCAAAAAATAAAACAAAGAAAAACTTTTGGCAATCATGATTTTAATGCAATATAAGGAAAATGCACATATTAAATGGGAGTCTTAGAGCAATGATAAAGTTATTTCTGTTGAAGCAATGACTAAATACTTGCATTATAATAAGTTATCTACATTACACCCTTGAGGTGCGACTCTTCCTCGAACCCTGCATGCGGAATATGTTGTGCACGGGCAAAAAATACACATTCAACAAAGAAAACAGAAAGAAAGACAAATTTATAGCACCTTTTTAATTTTAATCAAAATAGATGATCCATGACCTCCACTATATTAGATAGATGATTGATAGGGAAAAGAAACTTAAAAGAGAATTGTGAAGAATTTTTTTAAAAATAAGTAGGAAAGAAAAGAAAAAAAAAGGTGAAGAAATAGAGAGATTGATGAATTTGGAAAGAGTTATTTTTGGGAGTTTGGTTGTTATATTAAGTACGAAAATTATGGATAACCCAAGGTTGTGGAAGCACATAAACACAAAGATGTGATTATCATTACAGGTCACAGGAAATTATTATATATTATAATATTACTTTGGCTATTTCACCAAGGAATATATGTCACAATTTTATTCGTTAGTCTATATGAATATTCTTTATTTAGTTTGATAATATAATCTTTTAAATTAGTAATGGGAAGCACAACATAGTATAGTGCTCTGCCTGCACTTTCTCTCCCATCATAATCTAATTTTTATGTATTAATTTGTCAACAACCATCGAGACTAAAAGTGTCAAATTTGTGCTTTGGGCTAAAACTGAATAGGTCAAAATGAGTTAAGTTAGTAAATAAATCGATTAATAGGTTATGCAAGTTGAAAGAGAGTTATGGATAAAGTTAGAATGAACTAAACAATAGGTCATGTCAAAATAAACAAGACCGTTAGAGATCGTTTGGTTGAGAACAAGATATTTCAAAATTAATCATTTCGGAATAAGTTATTTCACCATGTATATGAAATAACTTATCTTATCACTAAGGTATAAATAATGAGATAAATAATCTCAGGACCGCCTAATATCTAGGGCTAGAATAATTTTGGAAATTTTAGGAGCTCAATACCTGTTGGGCTAAGCCCAATGTAACAAGAATTGAACTTTTCCTTGCGACAAATAACCAAATAAACCATATATGAATTTATGTATTATTATATACAATATAGAACATGGAATAAGAATAAAGTGTTAGTAATAACTCTCATATGGTAAACACTTATGTTTTGCTTAA